CGGAAAATGGCCACGGACCACGTGTCAGGCGGAAAATGGCCACAGACCACGTGTCAGGTGGAAAAATGGCCACAGACCACGTGTCAGGTGGAAAAATGGCCGCGGACCACGTGTCAGGGACGGAAAAATAGCCGCGTATCCTGTTCGTACCCCGAGGCGAAGTTCGCAAACCGCAGCAAAATTTTGCGGCTGGAGCTGGTCGTAACCCGAAAAGGTCGTTAACAGAAGCGTTCGTAACCCGAGGTTCCACTGTAATTGCTATCTTCCTAACACACAACTAAATCTGTGTGTGTGTGTGTTTGTGTTATATATCTTGAGTTCAACTCCTGTGACTTCAGGGATACATCCATATAGTTTTCTGGGCAACGAGACTAAAGGGTTTGCATTGCTTCACTGTTTATGCCTTGACCTCCCAGTTTAGCCCACAGCTAAATAGGATCTCCTAGTGGTGTCCCATTCAACCTTTAAGCCCGCCTAACTTTCCTTAGCTTTTTGAGATCAGCCCATCAGCTGGGTTAAGCTGTATTAGCACTGTTGAATGTTGGTTCTGAGAATAACCTTGTGTGTGTGTGTGTTCATGACTTTGCACACACACACACACACTTTCATCAGAGGCAAAGGGAGCTGTCAGCTCAAGAAGAGGCTCCAGGATTTGATGCTGGCTATTCCCAAAGCTTTCCTATTAAGCCATAAACCTTGGTCCTCTGACACAAGGATCTGATTAACAAACCACGATCGGTCCCTGCACCCTAGAAAAGTGTGCCTTCCGTCCCGCCTTCCAATATTTTGCAATCGGCGCCCGAGCCATCAGAACTGGAGCAGCCTCAACCAAACCCACTGCTGTCTTCTTCCGTACAGTTTCCACAAATAACCTGACCTACTGGATCCCGTTGGGCGGCTTCACGACCTTCTTGATCATCTTGATAGCAGCAAGCATTCTGATGCTTGCCGTGATGATACTTTGCTTGATCACCCACATAATCATCCACAGGGCAAAACTCCGTGTGGTAGAAGGTAAGATCCGCTTTCGTCTCTCCACTCTTAAATACTCCCCATAATTTCTCCAGTTTTCCCACTGTTTGCCTTTGGCCCCACCCACTTCCAGAGCCTGGACCCACCCACTCTTGGCTTCCTGCCCCGATGGATTAATCCCCCCCCCGGGAAAATTGTGCTTTTAACTAAAACAAAAATCTGACTCCAACATCCCTGCTGATACCCGACCTGGCCCAAGGTGATATGGAATCTGCCTGGTTTGGGAAGAAGGACGGAAGTTTCCAAAACATTGTAGAAGAAGAGATGGACCTTGTTGTGGTCTCCTATAAGTGATCGCCATCTTCCCCATTAACCAAGACACAGTTAGAAAGATCAAAGCAGCAGGGCGGTCCTACCCGAACGCTGATAGGTGAGGCTATATCCAGTTTCCAAGATTCTGCAAATCCGTCTTCCCCAAATCCATGAGAATCTTAATTTCTTGGCTGTGAGCTACCATAAGAGGCTTGGCATCTTTTCTTCCCTCAACCGGGTACAGGCATGGCCTCCCTCCCTTGGAAGTTGCACAACTACAGCCTCAGACATGGTGGTTGGGTCTTCTGGAATTGGTTCTGCAACATCTGGAGGGTTTTGGTGGTTCCCATCTGACTTTCACCCAATCCAATGTTGGTGGGAGTTATAGTCCAGTAAGGTTGGAGGACATTAGGGTTGAGAAGGTGATTGCCTTGAGGTTAAAAAAAGAGGACCGTAGCTGGAGGTGCCATGGGTGAAGCTTGAACATCCCTGAGGTATCACATTCCAGAAGAAAGAAAATGGAGTCCTGTATGGAGTCCTGAGCAAAGCGTGGGGTTGGATTTGAGGGTTCCAATGGCCCCTTGCATTTCCATACACCAGTGGTCTCTCTCTATGAACTTTTGATGTGTTTCTCTTACAGAACCCAAATCCGTCCATCCTCTGAACCTCCCAGAATCTCAACTGGATCTGGAAGATACCTTCAGCTGCCAGTTCCCAGAGGAAGAACATGGGGATAAGATATTAGGAGGGAACTTCTCACTGACCTCAGTGGTCCACTGAAAACTCTTGGGCTAGTTGGCACCCGGGTGTGCAAATACAGTATCATAGCTTACCTCTCAGGGACATAAAACCCACCTCCATGGTCCAGATGGTGGATCAGAAGGGACTGTTTGCCTTTAACAAGCTTTGATCCGGATTGAGAAGGGGAAAAGTGGGGGTTGAGAAGATCTCTGTGGAGACTTTGGCACGTAGGGAAAATTATACTCATGTATCACAAGTGAGCCCAAAACTTGTCCTTGTTTTTGGAGACAGGATGGAAAAACGTTGGCTGGATTCTTCTGTTTCAGAGTAGGCTTGTGATTTAGGATTTTACTAAAAAAACCCAAAATATTGGCCTGACCTGAGATGGGAGTTGGAGCCATCAACAAGGGCAGATCCTGGTAGAATCTGATGGGTTGAAGACTCAGCTAAAAGGGTGTCTAGATTTTATTTTTTAGCCCATCATTTTACCAGATGAGGTCCCTTCCAACTGCCCACCTTTGCATTTTTCAGCGGCGCCCACATGTCATTTCAAAGGTGGTTTTCTTTCTAGCAAAGTCAAACGAGTCCGCTCAGAGTTGGCAGAAAGGTGAACAAACCAGCTTTTCCCAAGCCCCTTTTTTTCTCCAACGCATTTCTTGGGACAGGTTGCATTTTCACACACACCCCTTCCATTTCTTAGGGATCTCCTTCTGTGTGTTTTTTCCAAACGTTACCACTTAGCTTCCAAAGCGTGGCACAGCCGCCCCGTGCCAAGCAAGGCCCTTCTTGTCAAATAAACAGTAAGATAAAAAGACTCTGGAGCTGTGATGTTTGTGTCTCCTTTACAAAACCAAGCGGAATCCTTGATTAACGAAGTCTCATTGCTCTCCTTCGGGGCGATGAAGACAGACACGGGGAGATTTGCGGATGCGGAACGTTCTTCCTTTCTTCGAATTTCTTCCTTTCTTCGAATTGACCCATGACTGCATGCTGGTTTCCTCAAGACGTTTTATCGTGAATGGTTGACTCATTTCCTCTGAATTTCTCTTACCAGGCCCTGCAGGTGCTTCTTCCAACAATAGGTTTGCTTACCAGGCAGTTGGGGGCTCTTGATCCAGGCCAAGCCCTGTGTTGATTGTTGCTGGAGCAAGCAGGGCTGGTGTGATGTTCACTCCCTAGTGTTTTTCCCCTGCCTGAAGTTTCTGATCAGCCTGGATTCAGGGGCTGAGAAAAGATACTTAGATTGACACGAGAACGACGGTGGCCCTTGGATGAACAGAGACCGCTTATTTGCACCAATCCCACATCTCTGGGGATTGAAGTTTGCAAAGGGTTCCTTGGCATAGTGCTGCTTGTCAAAATCACCCAAGACATTGTCACCTGATGTCGTCCAATGCTTAGGGAGAGACCAGGAGCTTCTCACCGTCCAGTTGGTGCGCTGTAACTCCTACCGCCCCTGAGCAGGGACAATGGTGAAGGATGAAGGGAGGGAGAAGTTCGACCACTTCTTGATGGTCGTAGTTGGTTCTCCATCCCTCCCTCAAAAACATTCATTTATGGTGTAGAGAATTCTACAGGTGGAATGTGAGATTCAGGCACAACATTCATAGATTCCTTAGGGGGAGGCCGAATCTTGTGGAACGGGTTCCCCCACGCAGATCGGGCACGGAGTTGGGAATCTTAATGCTTTCGCCCAACCCTTCACCAATGCTTTCCCCATTAGACATCCTTTTCATCTACCAGGACGCCTCCATTCGGTACCTGCCAGAAATGCCGGGCTACCTCAAATTCAGGACTGTAGAGTTGGAAGGGGCCTCAGAGAGGTCATCTCGTCCAACCGACGTGCGGGGAAGCCTTTGACCCCATCCAGGATGTTTAGGCTGCCTGGGGAGGATGGGAGTTGTAGTCCAGCCCATTTGGAAGACATCTCCCTAGGGTGGTAAGAAGTCTTGGAAAAACAAACAGTGCCAAGCTGGGGGGCTGGTGGGGGGGAGCAGAACCTAGAAGGATCTCTGAGGCTCCAAAGATTTTTAAAAATGGCTGCTGGCTTTTAGCAATATCGTATTTTGCCCTGTTGGTTTTCCGTGGCGCTGTTTTTTTTATATATATTATACATATATTGATATAAAAAGATTTGAGAAAGAGACAGAGAGATAAAAAGATGCCATCCCCCCCTGCAAAGAAAGATGCTGAAACACATCAGAACTAAGGCTGTTTCTTTTTTCTTTTTTCGTTCTTTTTTCCTGGTTTTGTCCTTTATAGGAAAAAGGAAACGAGGGCTTTTGAAATACACGAGCGACCGGGGCGGGTGGGGGTTTACGAGCCGCGGTGGGAGATCTTTTTATCTTCTGGGGGCAATTCACGGCAACTTTGGCTCACGGCTAGGGCCGGGGGGGTGCCATTGTCTGTCGGCACCTTGGGGACCACGAGCGGGGACAAGGGCCTGGGGAACTCCGGGAGAAGCAGGCAGTTGGGGGGCAGGCTGGACTGCAGGTGAAGGGAGAGCATCTGCGAGCTCGTCAAGGGGCTCCCCGCACCGTTGCCGCCGGCGGACTGCAGCTGGGCCCCGAAGGTTTGCTGGAACCAGGTCGTGTAGGACCTGTCCTTGGAGTTGCCGCGGGGGATGCTGAGTGCCTTGGCTGGCTCCTCACCGCCCTCGGCCTTCAGGCTGCTGTCGGGGGCAGCCGGAACGGGCTTGATGATGTACTGGTTGCCGCTGGCGCAAACCTGGTTGCCCCGGAGGATGGCTTTGACGGAAGGACAGCAGGCCAGGCTGGGGACGATGGAGATCTGAATCTGGGGCATGGGAAGGGGGTTTCGTCGGGCCCCTTTGCTGAGTGGGAGGGACAGCTCTTCATTTGCTCCAGCAAGGTCCCCCTTGGCTTCAACTCTGACATCCCCCTTTGGCACCTTCTCTGGGACTTTGGGGGGCGGCTGCTTTTCCGTCGGGTGACTGGGCCCCCCGGCGCTGCTGTTGACCTTCTCCGGATTTGCCCGGGGGATCTTTAGAGAACTGAGGGAAGTCCTGCTCTTGGCTGGCTGGGAGAGCCCGTTGTCAGAAGCCGTGCCGTTGTAGAGGAGCACAAAGTGACACAGAGACTCCAGGGGTAAGATGTTCTGGGCCTTCTGAGTCTTGGTGAAGATCTCGATGGCCAGATCTGAAAACAGCAACAAAATTAAGAGTGGGGCTCAATCTTTCCAGAGATGAGGAATCTCTAAAGAGAGAGAGGGTTGAATCCCCCTCAAAAAGCTCAATAGATGTGACTCAAGCGAGAAAAGACTGTGTTTGGAGCAAAGAACGTTGGCGCTGGTCAAAAATGGCTTGCGAACGCTCTAACCCCATTCACGCAACATCAGTGACCCCGTGAGCAGCTTCTTGGGTCAATTAACTTATTCTTGTCTACCTGTTGTTGGTAACTCAGCTGGCAAACTTTTCCTAACTTTGTGGGGAGGTGGGGAGAAATCAGGCCCTACCTTTCTCTCCATCGGAGGGAAGAAGAAAAACTTGCCCTCCCATAAGACCAGGGAGGGTGAGAAGTAAAAAAAAAAGAGACAGATTTTTCTGTCTCACACCAGTCCCATTTTCCCCAAACCCATCTCTGTTTTGGCAGTTCAGACATCTAATCTTGTACAAAGAATATGCTTGAAATGAGGTGGAGGGAAGTGGGATGGCATGGACTAAAATTAGCATGGATTCCTTCTAACGTAGCTTTCAGGTTGACTGGGTTATGGTGTTCGCAGAATAATTGAGTCCTCTCTCCACCCAGTTTAAGCGTTTCTTGGCTCTTTAACTTATTCTCTCAGAAATATGCTTAAAGTCTCTGAGACGTCACGGCAAAGCGTCAAGATGGAGAGACGCTCGACCAGCCATCAGAGACTTTCCACCCTGTTTTCAAGCAGAAATGGGAATGATTTTGCTCACAAAAGCACTGCTCACCCCAGGACCCTTGGCTTACCCAGCGTCTCATTCACCACCTTGGGAATCACGTTCCTCAACGTCCCGCAGTTGGTGTGCAGCGCAGGGTTGGCATTCATTTCCAAGAGCCACACCTGTGAAACATATCACTAGTTAAATTGCTACGATATTTTTCTTCCTTTTTGCGATGGCTCCTTGAAACTTCCAAACCACCCCCACGAAATCCTTTTCAAGCCTGAATCTAGACACGATTTCTTCTGCTTCGTTCATTTGGCCACCAGATTCTTTTTCCAGTCCAGATTAAATATCACACATACATACAGAAGTCACTCTAAAAGGGAAAATAAAGAGAAGGCTGGGTTTTTAAAAACACCAATATATTTTTGAACCAACAGGAGTACAGAGTTTTCCCTTTCCTGTCCAATTTTTTTTCCATTTTTTGAGGTCTCTACTTTTGGCCAAGATCCTTGCCCTCTTAGATCTTCTGACATGGGGACTGTTCTCACACAATTGTCAATCCGGGGTTTGCATAACCCTAACCCTGGCTGGGTTTGCAAGACACACTTGAGTCCAAACTAGCCAATCATGTTTTATCCTGGAATTTTGTAACAAAGCCAGCCATACTGTGGCTATGCTGAATCTCAGGGATTAAATCCTATCAGTTCTATCAAATGCGTCTTCCCCAATTCCTCATAAACGCAGCAAGGGTTGCATTTTTACAGCCACTGCCAAAGACTTTGCATCTTCCAGCTTTTTGCAACGATTCTGCAAAACGTCCCACCAAAAGTGATTGAAAAGAGAAAGCAAAGAGAGAGAGAGAGAGAGAGAGAAAGAGGGAGGGAGGCAGGCAGGCAGGCAGGCATTCTGTGTGTGTTCCCTCCTAGCTAGGATTTAAGCCAAAAATGGGTGAGATTTGCTGATTTATTGGATGAAGATCTTCCAAGGACTTTCACAACTCTTCTCTGAAAATATTTGGTGTTCTGCCACTGGGTGACGCTGGAACTCCACCCCGTTTCTGCAAAGTTTGTTTCTTTGACTAGCAAGGAGGCAAGTGGATGAATAAGACAGTGGGAGGAAAAATAAGTGAAATGATGATCATTGGAGAAACAGGTGGATCCTTTGGAAAACCCCAACCCACTTAACCCGGTCACTGAATGGACACATTTTCCTGGATTGGCGCCACACACAAAAGGTGGGTGCAAAACTCACGCAGGCGTGCATACCCACAAAGTGTAATGAGTCTGCAACTCGGCTAAAATTAGAGGGTGCTTCATCATTGGCGGCAATTAATCAAGAACGTCAAGGAGATCCACGATCACTAATAGATCTTGAAAAAAAGGGGATGGGAAAAGAGACGCATTGACTCTCCCGAGGGCCTTGCAAAGCTGTTAATTAACCACATGGGAGATAGAATTTAGCTGACAACGTGGCTTTTTTTATGGATCTGGAGGTGTAGTGAGATGGTTGGGGTGGGGGGGAGTGCTCTTGACCCAGCCTGGAGGGTCTTCCTTCCCTAGATCGCAGACGGGTACCTTAAAGTCTTCATCGATCAAGAAGTCGCAGCCAATGAGATCGAAGTAACCCAGTTTGCAGTCCAGCTTGGATTTGACGGACAGAAAACACTGTAACATGATCTCCTTCATTCTCTTCTGCAAAGCACAGGAGACTAATATGGGGGAACAATCCCCAAAAATGGAGCCTCCCATCCAGAAAATACATTATCCAAGGCCTCTTTTGCAGCGAATAAATTGCCAATGTAAGGGGTAAATTTAGGAACCGGGGAATGAATCAAACTGCAATTCCTGTTTTCCCCTTCTCACTCTAACCCAGTGGTTTTCCAACTTGGCAACTTTAAGATGTGTGGACTACAACTCCCAGAATTCCCCAGCCAGCTGGCTGGGGAATTCTGGGAGTTGAAGTCCACATATC